GATGTGCAGGTGAATGAGCCCCTGATGGTATGGCTGATGTCACTTCAAAAGTTTTTTTTCTCTTAATTAATTGGCCTCTCAGAGTTGGTAAGACAACTCCCACCTGTTTATGCTCTCTGTATGTGTGTATATATATCTCCTCAATATATGTTCCATTCTATATGCATCCGAAGAAGTGGGCTGTAGTCCATGAAAGCTTATGCTCTAATAAATTTGTTAGTCTCTAAGGTGCCACAAGTACTCCTGTTCTTCTTTTTGCGGATACAGACTAACACGGCTGTTACTCTGAAACTAGGGTGTGGCTTTCAAACTGCCTCTTTGACTTCATCCGATGGGTGCCGTGGAAAATACAGTAGGAAGATATATATATATATATATATATATACACACACAGAGAACAGGAAAACTGTAACGAGAGTAAATCATTAAGGTGAGCTAATCAGCAGGAGAAAAAAAAACTTTTCTAGTGATAATCAGGAGGGTCCATTTCCAACAGTTGACAAGAAGATGTGAGTAACAGTAGGGGGGAAAATGAGCATGGGGAAATAGTTTTTACTTTGTATAATGACCCATCCACTACCAGTCTTTATTCAAGTCTAAATTAATGGTGTCTGGTTTGCAAATTAATTCCAATTCTGCAGTTTCTCATTGGAGTCTGTTTTTGAAGGGTTTTTTTTGTTGGAATATTGCGACTTTGAGATCTGTAATTGAGTGTCCAGGGAGGTTGACGTGTTCTCCGACTGGTTTTTGAATGTTATAAGTCTTGACGTCTGATTTGTGTCCATTTATTCTTTTGTGTAGAGACTGTCCGGTTTGGCCAATGTTCATGGCAGAAGGGCATTGCTGGCACACGATGGCATATATCAAGTTTTTTTTCTCCTGCTGATAATAGCTCACCCCTCCTTCGAAATGGAAAAGTACCAGGTTTAAGATGGATTTCATTATCAGGTGAATGGTCACATGTCACTGTAAGACCCCCAGTCTCCATTCCCCATGGGCTGGCCCACACGTACACAGGGAGGCTTTCAAGAAACTAAGGCCATTTACAACTGAGTGTTTCTGGAGCATCCTTAATGGCCTCCACTTAATATATTTTTCATCAGTGATACAGGTTTATATCTTATTCTCCTAACTCCAGATATAGAACTAAATCATGCAAACAAATAGGATGAACATACTTAGTAGATTACAAGCTTTCTAAAGACACCATACAAGGGGTATTTAGCATAAAGCATATTCTAGTTATGTCATATTCATAAGCATATTTCCATAAAGCATATGGAGCGCAACATCACAGGGGCTCCAGCCGGTTCGGTTTTGTATTGGAACCCCTAGGTATTGAACCCGGCCCTGGTGGCTGTCGACTCCGCCTGGCAGAAGGGTTACTCCTGGCAAGAAAAGCAGAAAAATGACAATAGGTTCCAAGGCCACTGAGAGTGTAATGTGCAAACTGGTGGGTTGTCTCTGGGAGGCGACACACAAAGCCCCTGGATCCTGACCCATAGGCATAATGGAGCCAAGGGAAATTCTTCACGGTGCTGACTGCTCATTGGGGATGATCCGTCTGCACTGACAAGGTTTCAATCCCAGGGGAAAATTTGATCTATTCAGATCATTACACTGCAAGAGCCAATGCCTGCCTAGCCCACAGTGAGTGACCCCTGGAGCTCCCAGGAGAGCCAAGGGAAGGGAACGTGGAGGTGCCAGGACAGGACATTCTGTTCTGGTGCCTAAGACATCTAGGATACTGCTGGATAGTGACCGACTCTCACTAACATTTGCTGTGACGTTCCCAACTGGCTCATAACCAATCCTGCATCATTCGGGGGCAAATCACCTTTACAGCAGTGATGAGACCCAGCTAGAAATGACTGTTTCACAGGCTGGTACTGGAACAGAGCAGAGGACCTCTTACCGTCTTGGTGCTGGTGGTGGGGACAGCAGACATGGATAGATCGGATGTCTGAGATTTCGTGCTGGACGTTCGGAATCCCTTGATCCATCTCCTGTACTCCTCTCTCACCTGGAGAATGAAGGACATTGTCACTGCACTATGTAACTAACTCTGAGAAGATCAAACATGGTTGGTGAAAATGAAGGTGCTGGGTGGGCGCTGATGGGCCGTGGGCATTACCTGGCGATTGAGGAGACAGTGCACCAGGAAGATGAAGGCTCCCTGCAGGCTGTTGACAATAGTGAATAAATACGCCATGACCGTGGCTGCTGGGTCGACTTGAAGGAGACCAAGGCTCCATGTGCAGCCCAGAATGAAGAGCTGGGCGATGGCTTTAAAGGTCAGTAACCTGGTTAAAGGCAGATGGAGAGATCCCGTTACAATAAGTCTATGGAGAGCAATTGGGTCAGGAGGATCTGGGCAGAGTGGGGTGGAGCTACCGGCCCTGGCTTTCCTGTGTGGGACAGGGTTACTGTCAATGCAAACACTATGTGAATTCGTTCCAATGGATCCTAGATATGCTGTTCCCCTCCTGCAATCCCTCACACCCTCCCAGTGCCAAGCATCTTCCAAACCAAGGCATCTGACACTCCAGTATTGTTTTGTTGCCATCTCACCGGTGGTCTCTGAGGGTGGACACATCTGCATTGAGGGAGGAGAGTCTGTTTCTCAGGATCCACAGGGTCAGGGCAAAAAATGTTATATTTATCTGTGGGAAGAGTGGGAAATATTTCCTGTAAAACATCCCATCCGGGGCCAGTGACTCGAGCAGAGGCAGAGAACGATCCCAGGGGAACGAGCCAAACACTGCACAACCGGGGACTCTACATTTCCAGTGGGAATCATCCCCTCTGCTGTAATATCCCCTGGCAGCTCTCAGCCCCCTGCATGCATGGAGCTGACAGCACAGCCAGAGCTGAGATGGATCAATGGGATCACAGAGGTCAGATGCTGCTCAGAGTTAAATATGGAGCCTCTCCAGTGGAGTCAGGAGTTATTTTGGGTTTACACTGGTGTAACTGAGAGCAGGATCTGGCTCAGAGATTCCAGATCCTGCCTCTAGAATAGTTCCTGCCACTTCCAGGCTGTAGGAAATCCCTTCCCCCCCCCCGAAACTTCCCCAGGTGGTAGGGAGGAATATGTAGGGACATTTCCCCCCCCCCTACAAAAACCACTGTAGAGTGCAGGCCTCTCCCTTCCTCGTTCCTTGGGTCAGTAACTAGACTAGACCAAACTCTTCTGTCTTCACTTGGGAAAAATCCTACTGACGTCCATGGGAGCTGTGCCCGAGTAAAGGCTGTAGGCCTGGGGATACAGCACAGGGATTAATCCCGGGACTGACCACAACAGATGAGCCAGGTGGTACCTAACTGGGTCTTTCCTTGTGTTTTATGGGCCACATTCTCCTCCCTGCTTCACTGAAATCAATGGGGTTGCAGAGGTGAGAGGAGAATGGGGCCCTGTGGTTCGGGGAGGTACCCACCAGGATTATGGCACAGACTGGACGCAGGAAGCTCAGACGAAAGCCTCTGTCCAGGCTGAGCCAGCAGCTAGGGGGAGGGAGGAAGAAGAAGGTGACGTTAATGGGATTACTGCCCTTTTTCAGCCCCAGGGGCAGAGAGGGGGTGTCACAGGGCAGCTGGCTCTCAAAAGCGAGATGGATCTCAGCCTGCCTGTGACATGGCCGACTCTCTTGCGGGCAGCAGGTAAACAGCCCTCCCCATGAACCTCAGCATCTCCTGCTTTCAGCCCCCCCCTTCCTCTTCCACCTCCTCAATGACCCTTTCTGGTGGATGGGCGCAGTATTGCTGGAGGGCCAGACATGCAGCGGATGGACATTGGCCTCGCTGCACAGAAGGAAGTGGAGCTACCCTGATTTACACCAGCTGAGGATCTGGCCTGGGGTGTCTAGAACACGCCACGCCCTGTTTTAGTGAGTCGCTCACTTTAGAGAGGGGATCCTCAGGGATTTGCACACGGGAAGAAGGTGCATTTGTTTCCTACCCACCAGCTCCATAAACCCAGCCTGGGAGCTGGGAGTTGAGCTGGGATCTTTCTGGCTTGTTCTTCCACATCATCAGTGGGGTGAGGAGTGAAGATGTCTGACAGGTGGGCAACTCAACTGCAGTGCTCGGGGCAGCTTAGTGTCCCTGGGGATGGGAAGGGTCCCGGGGGACATTCAGCTCCCAGGCAGGGTGAGCAGGGAAATCTAGGTCCAAGTCAGACCTGGGGTGAGCCGGACAAGCGCATGGGAGTCACATCCCAGCTCCCCTTCGGGATGGGCGCTGCACGTACTGTTTGGAAGTTCCGTAGCCGTCAGGATTCACCGCTGCAGAAATAGCCACCACCAGGGCTGGGAAGCCGTAGCCGAACGGGTACATGAATCTCTTCTTGAACCGGCTGGCGCTGGTGTAATTCATGACCTTCAGGTTCCTGACGGTGAGGAAGAGGTGCAGCCCCTCCAGCAACATCCAGCTGAAGCAGGCCAGGAAGAGGTAGTGTAGGAGGCCAGCAATGACAGCACACGCCACCTGGGGGAGACAGAGAGCCTAGGGACACTGCGGTGGGGAAGGGAAATGCTGAGTGTGGGGGAGATCTGCCGGGGGGTCACACTGGGATTCTTGTTAGCAGAGCTCTCCAGTTATAGCGCTCTGTGACCCAGAGACGGCAGGTTCCTCAGTCTATGGAGGGTCCTGTGGGTGCACATTGCTGATGCAGGAAGGGAGCAGAGATTAGTGGTTAGAGCAGGGGAGCAGGGCTCAGGGAATCCAGGTTCTGTTCCCAGCCCTGCCACAGAGTCCCTGGGTGACCATTGCAAGTCACATAGGAGAGAAATCGAGGCACAGGGAGAATGTGAAATAGGGATAGAACTGGCTGAACTCCAAGGGTTGGGGACACTCAGACCACTGTGCCCAGTGTGAAAGGGCCTAATGGGGTGGGAAAATCCCCCCCTGGGAATCCCCACTGTGTCCTGCACAGCCTAGAATCCAGGGAGCACAAAGGCGTTCAAACCACATACCCCAGCCCTGCTGGAGGAACAGAGCAGGGGAGAATCAGGCCGTACCCGACTGCCGGTGTGTGTCACCGGGGTGAGGAAGAGCAGGTTGGCCAGGAAGAGGCAGAGGCAGAGCTGCAGGTGGAGGGAGGTGCTGACGTTGTGGATGGAACGGCACAGGAGGAAGGTGAGGATGGCGAGGAAGAGGCACAGCAGGGAGAGGGTCAGTCCCACGTAGGTGATGATGGTCAGTGGGTAACTCTCCTGTAACACAGCAAAGGGACAATCACCAGTGACCCCAGACCAGCCCCCTGCGTTCCGATTCAGCCTTTTCCCCAGCAAAGCCTCCAGTCACTCCATGGAGAGCTTTGCCCATGGCTGAGTGCGGAGCTCAGGGTCCAACCCTATGACCCGAGTCTCACGGTGAGATACCGTCACTGTGGTGGGAGCCATTAGGACGGCGAAGCTGGAGAGATGGTCACAGCTGCAGGTGGTGTGAGTGCTGTTCGTGTGCACGGCGGTGCAGCCGTCCGGAGACCAGCTGCCGCTCTCGGCCACTACTTTCCAGTAGACACAGAGAGCCTCTTCCTCCTCTTTTTTGGCCTGGAAACACAACAGAATCATCCTCATCCTCACGGGACCACGGAATGTCATTTCTGTTATCACAAGTCTATAGCAAACCCGAGGTCACCTACAGCTCCACGGCTCTCCCCACGCAGCCCCCAGTGCCCACTGGGGCCATCCCGGTGACAGTAGAGAGAGAACGGAGAACCCACTGCTCCAAAAGCACAGGCCCTGCTTTTGGAGCACAAGCGAAATAAACCCTTGCTAGCTGTTAGCACTATAAGGACCGTGGCACATGGCTGAGCAGTTCTGACTGCATCCAGCAGAGGGCAGTGCTGTGTGCACACATACACATATGCACCCTAACCACTTCATTACCGTATCAAAGTGTTTCATGCTGATTCCCTGAACCACAGTCTCTACAGAAAGCGGCTTTCCAGTTATTCCGGGTCAGGGGTGAGCTGGGCGGAGCTTTTACCCTTGAGCACTTTGCACAGCCATGTGTCGTGAACCTCCTCCAGGAAAACAGCCCCAACTCATCAGGAATAAGGAGGCCTCCTCTTCTCAGGACCATCGATAGCCAGAAAGGCAGCACGGTCCAAATGCCCGGCAGGAGATGGTGCCTTCTATAGGCCCCTCTGGAGACCCAGATATGGAGGAAAGCGAGAGGCTCTTCCTTCACGCACCTGTCTGTGGCGCAGGGTGAAGTTTGCGGGTCTGGAGAGGTGAATGGGTCTCCCGTCTCCGATGGCCCCACTCACCACCCTGGAGTTGAGATAACTCTTCTCCAGCTTCCCTCCAGCCGGTAGATTTCCCTCGCTGAGACGTCTCGCACTGATGATGGAGTCCAGGGTGGAGTAGGAAATAAAAGCAGCAGCCCCCAAACCTGCTGGGAGAGGAGATGATCCCTCGTTAGGGAGCTGGGGACGCTATGGCAAAGAAGGAGCCGGCCAGGTGCCCAGGGGTCACAGTGAGTCTGTGGCAGATCTGGGAATGGAACCCAGGATCCTGGACACAACTCTTAAGGTTTAACCACTGGACTGTGCTGCCTCCTCCCTCGAAGCCCCCAGGAACGTGTCTGGCTGGAAACGTCGAGCTGCAGGATGCAGAGATGAAGATTCAGTTTTTCTCAGGGAGACCAGGAGAGGGGCTGGCCAGGGATGAGCTTCCCCTGGTGCTGGAGGATTCGGGGCCCTGAATATGGCAGCTGAGGGTACATGTTACCCTGGTCCCCACATCTCCATTTGGGGGTCTGGCTAGACTAGGGTGTCCCTGCCCTTTCCATTCTCTGGGCCCACTTCATACCAGAGACCCTCTCATGAGCCATCTCCCCTCTGCGCCCCCAACTCCTCACTGCTCGGGGCTCAAGCTGTGGGACAGGCAGGAACGAAGGTGTCAACTCCATGGCCACAGCCTGAGAACCACTGGCTCAGCCAGCAAGGAGCCCTCCAGGGCTAGAGACAGAGGCCAGGGCCCGGCCTGGGGATCCATGGGGAGGGAGGGAGGAACGGGGGAACCCAGACTGGGGTTCGGTGCCAGGGAACTGCTTTGTGCCGTGGTTTGGGCCCTAGGTGTCTCCAGCCCAGGGTGGTACCTCGTGTGGCTGCCCCGGTGACTGTATCACAGTGCACGACCATCGTCTCCTCGTGAGCTCTCAGCGTGAAGACCTCACTGTCCCGGCTGCAGTTCCCTGTGACAAGCCGCGTCTCGACAGCTGCAGGGGGTGGGGGAGAGGAATGACAGAGCCCCTCGCTGTGAACCCCCTTCCCTGGGAATCTGTCCATTCTGGGCCAGATCCACCCCCCTCCCACTCCACTTGGAGCTGGGGGGCTTCAGGGCACTTCGCACTGTGGGAGGGGGAAGTTTGGAGCACCCCCGAGTTCCATTGATCACCCCCCGTATCCCCTCCCCCCATTCTGGCTCTGTCTCCCTGGGGATGCTGCGTCCCCAGCAGGCGGAATAGCGGGGGTGGGGGGAGGCACCTGGCTCAGCGTGGCAGCCCTAGTGGTTCAATGCCAAATATTACATTTAAAGCCTTCTTGGGCATTGCTGTTGCTCCGGGGGCACTGGCGGGGCTGGGTTATATTTCCTGGTGCAGGGGCAGTGCTGGTCTGTGTCTGTACTGAACACAGGCTCACATCCACAATGGTATATAGGCTCCAACTTCCAGTGGATTTGGGGCACAGTGTGTAACCCCGTATCTCATGGCAGCCAACAGGTGGCGCCGAGAGACACATGTCCCACTCACCCATAGACTCTGTTGTCACATTCTGTGTTGTCCTCTCCGGAGACCGGAGCGCAGTGGCCAGCGTGGCCAGTTCCACGCTCTGCAGCAGGATCGTCACGGCTGACTCCACCTCCCGCTTGTCTCCGCCATCCCAGAGGGAGGTGCTGGTCAGGAGGGCACTGAAACGGAGAGTCACGCTCTGGGGACAGGAAAGGAAAAGCCCTGGGAGCGAGGAGTCCGGGGGTTCAGGTGCCACGTCCCGTGTGTTCCCAGGGGGAGTCGGACGTCACAGCATCTCCCAGTTCAGGGGGCTGCAGTCCTCTCAGAGGGGGAGCCTTTTACAAAGGGGGTCCACTGAGGCTGAGTCGGGTCCTCACTGGCACCTGAAGCCAACTGGGGCTTAGAACCCTTTGTCCTTCCTTCTTCACTCCCACTCCCCCATCCCTCTATTACAGATGCCAGGGAACAACATTGTCACAAGCCCACGGCTACCTAAGCTGTCTCTGTCCTGCATCCGGCAGCTGCTCAGAAATGTCTGTCAGGGCAGGGATAGAGCCCAGATCCTGCTGCCTGAAAAACTCAGGTCACTGACAGATGAGCTGAAGGAGAATCCCTATTAACTGTTAGCAGTATAGCACCTCTGATGAACAACAACAGTTCTGAACACTATAGGGTGCATGTTGGTGGACAAACACAAATGTGCACTCGCACCACTACAGAACATGTGAGCGCAGACACAGACAAACACCACTAGAGGGCGCACCCCCCCTCCCCACTGCAGTGGAGGGCACAGATCTTGTCTGAAGAGTATCTACATGGCTCCCTCCCGCACAACCCAGTGAGACTCCTAACCCAGCACAGCAGCACGCAGGGTCTGGGGCACACGCAGGGGGACTAGTCTGCAGGGCACATTTAAGAGGTGGAGCCTCTCACCTCCAGTGATAACGCCGCACTCCCATCTCTGAACGTGGACATCAAAATGTCTAATGTCGAATTAAAGAAAGAGCAAAAACTGCTGCTTCTGCTGCTCCACTTTCCCTGCAGAGAGACCCAGGGCAGAGGGTGAGTTCTGCAGGCGCTGAAGGGCGACCGACATTGGTGTTTGCCTTATGCAGGGGCCTGATCCTGACACCCCTCATGGAGTGAATAAAGCTTTTATATCAGACGTGTCCAGGACATTTACGATGGTGCTGTTGCCACAGCGCGAGGTTCATGTGGAGAAAGGGAACTGTTTCTTGTAACAGCTGGAATTCATCAAGGCTTGGGACTAATCCCTTTTTGTTCACGTCGGTGCTGGAGGCATTGACAGAAAACAGCCAGAGAGTGGCCCCTGGCACATGCCTTTTGCAGATGACATAGTGCTTGTGGAGAGAGAGGAAAGAGGAAGTGAAAGAACACGCAGAGAGACATGGAGGTGCATATTGGAAAGAAACAGCATGAAAATCAGCAGAAGAAATCAGAGTATATGGTCTGTAGATTCAATGCTCTCCTGCTGGAAGACAATGGGCGTGTAAGTCTGGGACCAGCCACTAGCAAAGCTACAGAAGTTTTATAAAGTTTGATAACAATTTGCAAACACCTAGAAGATGATAAGGTGATAAGTAACAGTCAGCATGGATTTCTCAAGAACAAATCCTGTGAAATCAACCTGATAGCTTTCTTTGGCAGGGTAACAAACCTTGTGGATAGTGGGGAAGCGGTAGACGTGGTATATCTTGACGTTAGTGAGGCTTTTGACACTGTCTCACGTGACCTCATAAACAAACTAGGGAAATACAACCTATATGGATCCACTCTAAGGTAGGTGCATAACTAGTTGGAAAACCGTTCGTAGAGTGTAGTTATCAGTGGTTCACAGTCAAGCTGGAAGGGGATATTGACTGGGGATCAGTGCTGGGTCTGGTTCTGTTCAATATCTCATCAATGATTTAGATAATGGCATAGAGAGGACACTTATAAAGTTTGCGGATGATACCAAGCTGGGAGGGGCTGCAAGTGCTTTGGAGGATCGGATTAAAATTCAAAACGATCTGGACAAACTGGAGAAATGGTCTGAAGTAAATAGGATGAAGTTCAATAAGGACAAATGCAAAGTTCTCCACTTAGGAAGGAACAATCAATTGCACACATACAAACTGGGAAATGACTGCCTAGGAAGGAGTACTGCGGAAAGGGATCTGGGGTCATAATGGATCACCAGCTAAATATGAGTCAATAGTGTAATGCTGTTGCAAAAAACCCCAACCTCATTCTGGGATGTATTTGCACAGTAGTTCTCAGACTTTTCTAGTGCTGACCCCTTTCACACTGGAAGCCTCTGAGTGCGACCCCTCTTATAAACTAAAAACACTTTTTTTTTTACATTTAACACCATTATAAATGCTGCAGTCAAAGCGGGGTTTGGGGTGGAGACTGACAGCTTGTGACCTCCCATGTAATCCCCTCATGAGCTCCTGAAGGGTCCCAACCCCCAGTTTGAGAACCCCTGTATTAGCAGGAGCGTTGTAAGCAAGACACGAGAAGTAATTCTTCTTCTCTACTAGAAGAATAAGGAGGATCGAGTCCCAGCGATGAAAGGAAGAAACGCAGAATTGCCCTGATCTTGGATGGGGTTTACAGGGGTCACCGTAATACCAACAGGAAAGGTTTTTGTCTGGGAATTTCCATATTGGTGGTACAAAACACAGGGCAAAATCCCCAACAAATGAATGATGGGTTCGAACGTACCTGCAGAGAGAAATTCCTGCACGTCGCTTTGATTCCCTCGAACTCAGCGCTGGAGTTAATGCTGGGGACTTGGAGCGATGGGAAGAGAGGAGCAGACGTTAGAGCCTTCATATCAGATTTTCATCTCAACTCACTCCTGCCTGGGGGAAAATCCCCTTCTCTTCCCCACCCCGATGGCTGCTCTCTGTCCACATGCCAGTCCTGCGCTGCCAAGAGTTTAACATGCAACTGCTACAAAACTCCCTCCCTTCCCCCCCCCGTCTCACTTTGTCTCTCTCTCCCTCCAATTACACTCCGCTTTGCCCCTCCCTCCTGCTCCTGTCTCCGAGGCTTGTAGAGGTGTTTCCATCTATTCTGCAGAGTGACCTGCTGGGTACAGATGCCTCTGCCTGCTGGGGAGAACCCACCTTTACACGTGCCTTAGCCCCGCTGCACTGCCGGCTGTGAGCCGCCCGAGGTAAGCGCCACCTGAGCCCCCTCTGGCACTCGAACTCCCTTCCAGGGCCTGTATCCCCCACCCCTCCCGCACCCCAACCCCATGCTTGAGCCCCACCCCTGAGCCAGCACCCTGCACCCCCCCGCACCCAAACCCCTATGCCAGCCCTGAGCCCCCTCCCAGAGCCCAAACCCTCTTCCGGAGCCTGAACCCCACACCCCCACCTGCACCCCAACCACCTTCCCCAGGCTCGGCCCGTAGCCTGCACCCTCTCTCACACCCCAACCCCCTGCCTCAGCCTGGGGAAAGTGAGTGAGGGTGGGAGAGAGCAAGCGACAGAGGGAGAGGGATGCAGTGGGTGCGGCAGGGCCTCGGAGAAGGGGCGGGGAAGGTGTTTGGGTTTGTGTGATTAGACAGTTGGCAACCCTAGGGAAGAGACACCTGGCCCCTGGCAGCCCTGCTCACCCACTCTCCGGCCTGGCTCTGGTGCAGATAAGTGTAATTCCGGCCTGGCCCTGGAGTGACCCCTGCTCCGCTCCCAGAGCCAGACCTGGGCACGCTGGTGGCTGTGCCTCTGAGACAACCGGCAACACCCCAGTGGATACACAGGCTGGGCTGTGGGGAGGTCAGGGCCTTGAAGCTGAGCCCTCCCTGGCTAGGGTTGAGACCTAGAGGGACCCTTTCCACGGGGGCAAGGGGGGCTGGTGCACCGTCCCAGACCAGTTCCCAGTTCGGTGTCCCCTCGGGCAAGACCTCTGACTGTGTAACCCCAGACCCTGCTTAGCCCCCCCAGCTTTCCCCTCCATGTCTCCCATGGCAGGACCCATCTTCGCACATGGTTGAGTTCCTGGTGGAGGAGACGTATCCGGCCCGGCACTCACACCAGTAGCTTCTGTAGGTGTTGATACACGTGGCCTTGGGGCTGCAGAGACCTGGGGTCTTGCGGCACTCCTCGATGTCTGAGAGGGGAAAGCGGGGGATGAGGGTGTCACACACAGTACGGGTGGGGGCACATGGGGGGTGAATGACCATGGAGATCCTGGGTAAGCTCAGTGGCCGTGCATTAACAGCATCTCCAACGCCAAGCAATCAATAAAAGCCACAAACCCTGAGCCAGGCTGCAAAAAAGTCACAAAATTGGCTTTGTTTTGTTTGACTCTGGTTTGGGAGCTGTCGGTCACCCCAGGGTAATGTTTGGCAGTTTTCCCTCTGCCATGTGGACCAGGCCCTAATTTTGATTTTAGCCAAAAGCGGAATCACGTGACTCTGGGAGGTGGGGCTTTAAGGCAACACCACACATTAACAACACTGCAGAAAAGCCAGAAACATCATGCCTTTGCCACGACTGTTTCCAACTCCCGTTGTACCTGTGCAGATCTGAGACGGATCCTTTTGACTCTTCCCAAATCCCCAACTGCATTTACACATGTAACTCCCTGGCATGTTGATGCAGGTCCCGTGGGGCTCACAGATTGGGCGGGGTCTCTGCCAGGGGAAGCGTTTGAACCAATGGGCTCCTGAGTTCTCCCAGTTCGACGGGCCCGGTGCTCTGAGCCCCCCAAACGGGGGTGTAAAGGGCGGTTTCCATGGGAACGGCCAGCTAGGACTTGATACAAGCTCTAACTACCGGCTGAACGTCGAAAACAAGGGCCTGGAACGCCCCGGCCCCTTCTCCGGTCAGGCCGCCCTGGCTGCCTAAGGGGGCATAATGGCCCCCTGGGGAAACACTCTCCCATCCAGGGGGCTCCCTGTCAGTGTGGGGCTGGAAAAGGCTCTGCTCCCAGCCCTGAGGGATGGGGCAGATTGGGGGCGTGGCCGGGGTGCCCTGCACTGGGGCTATTCCCTGCTCCCCAGGGCCATAGGGGGCAGAGCGCACTGTGCTGTATGTAGACCCTCCACGAGGCCCCTTCCCCGGCTCAGGGGCACTAGCAACCTCTGGTGCAGCACCAGACCTGGAACGAGCATTTGTGTGTGCGAGGGGGGGGGGGGTCTCAGCAGGTGGGGCCAGGGGAGAGCTCAGCCTGGCAGGTGTACTCACTCGCGTGCATGCCCCCTCACAGCGCTGCCCACACAGGAAACTTGGGGCACTGGGAGGGTCCCTCCAACTAGCAGCTGCACCTCTAGAGCAGGGGTGACCAACCTGTGCCTCCGGAGCCACACGCGGCTCTTCAGAAGTTAATATGCGGCTCCTTGTACAGGCACCGACTCCAGGGCTGGAGCTACAGGTGCCAACTTTCCAGTGTGCTGGGGATGCTCACTGCTCAACCCCTGGCTCTGCCACAGGCCCTGCCCCCACTCCACCCCTTCCCGCCCCCTCCCCTGAGCCTGCTGTGACCTCACTCCGTCCCCCCGCCCCGAGCCTCCTGCAGCCAACAAACAGCTGATCGGGAGATGTGGGAAGGAAGGGGGAGGCGCTGATGGGCAGGGCTGTCAGTGGGTGGATGGTTCGTGGGGGTGGGGTGGGGAAACTGATGGGGGGCTGCTGATGTGTTACTCGGGCTCTTTGGCAATGTACATTGGTAAATTCTGGCTCCTTCT